TTCATCAAAGCCCGGGAACGCTTTCCTGGCGAACGTTGCCTGCATCTGTGAGGCAGCGACAATTCTGCAAAAGTTTTTTTTTTTAAATAAAAACAAAAATTTTTCAGCTTTTTCATTCAACAATCCACCTCCAAAAATAAAAAAGACCTAAACCAACACACAGGACTCCCTTCACTGATGATGACTCGTGTGTGTTGCCAAGTCAGTGCTTACTTCTTCACACCGTCCTCCTCATATTCACTCCTGTAGAAGCCTTGGAGGTCGTCCGCCAGTTCGCCCTGAAATTCAGTGTGAAGTGCGTAAGTCGCTCCCACAGCGAGGCCTCTGCTCAGCTGAAGAACCAAATACTCAGTGTTTTCAACAAACCAGTGCTTCTGTATAGCAGGCGCAGTCACATGACCCAAGCCCCTCAGCGCAGCACCGGGGCCGGTGAGGTTGAGCTTGTTTGAGTGAATGATGACGAGGTCCGTCTCTTTCACGCAGTGGAAAACCACCACCGAGTGTCCGGTGAAGATGTAGAGACCGTCGGCGTCGGGCGTCAGCCTGGGCCACAGGGTCACGTTGTAGGTCACGGGAACAATAGAGCCTGGAAGTCTGAAGTGGTCCCACAGTTCCTTGGAAGCAGACGTGGTGGTGGAGGGTACAGCCGTGCTGGTGCTGGTGCTGGTGTCGTTGGATGATCCTCCTGCAGGACTGCCCAGATTCTTTGCCTTCTCCTTGTGGTAGACAGCGGACAGAGCTATAATTGTGGCCAAAGCGGTGACCCCCAGGACAAGCAGCCCGAGTCCCACATTTTTACTGATGTAGTAGACTTTCCCCATGACGGATTCAGAAGTCCAGAGCGGAGCTGCGGTGGGGTATCAGTCTGTGCTCATCCACCGCAGCAGTTTTCTACCCACCTCAGTTAATGGTTGACGTATTAACATGGCAAAAAAGTATCATCCAGTCTGAAGAAACAGCCTGAGGAAAAAAAAGCAAAACAAAAGAGGAATATCAGAATATGTGCAGTATCAACTTGAAATTTTGTTAATTTGCATGTTTTTAATCGGAGTTGCCAAACCGCTGGGTCCCGGACCTTACCTTGACTTAGCAATGATGAGGTAAAGCTTTAATCTGCAGTTCATGTAAGAAATGGATGTAGGTTTCTGATTATAAAGAACTGGATCAGTAGACGAGACTGAGCTCATCGTCTGTTGCAATGAAAATAATGTCAGTTTTGTAATTTATGATCCTATTTGATGGTAAACAGAGGAAAAGAAAAACACAACAGTGAGTTGAGACTAGACACTAGAGTTTTAGTTTTTATAAATGAACATGAACCTGATTATTTCTATATTTAAATAAATAAACGGAGGCATCATTTGCCATCTACGTATTCCTTCCCTAATTGTTCAAATGGTACATTTAGAAAATACTAACAATCTTTAATCCCTGATCTAAAATAACAAACTTATTTAATTAACATTTAAAGAAATATAGAAAATAAGCACGAGGAAAAATTCTGAGGAGGACTGGCTGAAAGTGGACTGGCTACATTAAACCCTCGAAGTGCGGCGATAAAGACACATAGTCCTCCCCGTACACATCGTCTGTGTGATAAACACGGCCGTAACTAAATGGGCCTGTGGCACAAACCACAAAATGTAGGTGGGCGTGGCCACAACCAACATTCTCATACCAATAAGCTTGTGTTGACCCGTGATTCATGGCTGTACCAGGCAGGGCCTCAACCTTCAGCTTAGCCTAGGAATGCATTCAGTTAAGAAAGACCATACTCTACCAGGTCAACAAAGTTCAACATAAAGTCTGGAGACGGAGAAAAGGGTTAAATAAACTGTTGTACGTACAGTAACCTCCCTCAGAACCATGGGTTGAATTGTGATTTTCTTTTTTTTGCCTGATATAAGATTGATACTATACTTGTCCGAGGGCCAGGATTTTTCCAGACACTCAAAAAAAATCATGCTTTTGTCTAACATTATTTTGTGTATTTTGGAATTGTTGATTGATCCTGCTGCTCGTGCTTATTTAAACGATTTCTGCAGTTACTCACGATCTTACATTGTGCTTGTCATCGCTACGAGTAACCTCAGATCAAAAGATCAAAATTTCTCACATAAAATACCAAGAGGCAACATCTGGAAGTAGTCTGATCTGTTAGAGCCACACAAATGTAGACGTGAAGTGTCGCTGGATTCTCTCCAGCCCAGATTAATGGGGAGAGTTACATCAGGAGGAACATCGGTATTAAAACATCTGCCAAATCGTGACTGTGGATTAATCATATTTGTCATCGCTAAGATAAACGTGATTCTCCTTTAATCACGTTCTATTGTGCAAAAACGCAAAAAAGATGACAGACAGTTCTGTCCAAGAGAGAGAGAAAATAAAGACGTCGACACAGAAAACCATGACATACCTTTTAGCAAAACACATTAAGTTAAAGTAAAGTTTTTCACAGCTAATGCCATGTGAACTTAACACCACACAGGTACGGAACATCTGGAAAAGATCTGATTAAACTCTCTCTGTGTGCAGACCAAGACCACACAAGCAAAGATCTGTGATTGGTCAATAATCCAAGGCATGTTCCAAACCATCTGTACCACCGCCTGAAGGAGGAAAACATTGATAGTGTCCAAGGAAGTACGTCTGCCCTGAACACACCACACCGTATCACAAACGTGGCACGATGGAGTAAGAGCAGAAGCAATGACACTTAAAAACAAACATGTTCCTTCGTTATTTTATTATCACAGAAATGTTCTCTAACTGGAGCTGGGGCGGCTCGACTTCTGCAGGGGTTTACAAGCTTTTTGTACCATGTATGTCATTAGTGCTTACTGATCAAATTGTATCAGGCTCTGACGAAATGTCTGGAAAGGCTTCTCTCTCTCTCTCATTAGGTAGGTCTAAGTATTGTTGCCAGTGTAGATCTAAAACAAACAAGTCGGTCTGAAAACAGATAAAAACAAAAAACAAACCTCAGTTCATATCTTTGTAGGATTTGCACCTTAAAGTCTTCAAACAGAGGGAGGTGGGTGTAACTACTGTAGCTTCCAGCCCTCTGTTCCCTGACACTTCAGAATATGTTTTTTTTATGATAGCTGCTCAGACAAAGTGCTCTCCACATTAATAAAAATGTAAACACTTTGAGTGAAATTTATGACTTTCTACGTCTCAAAATTTTTTTACAACTCTACTTTGCAAACGTACAGTTTTTATGAAGGCAGATGTTTACTCCTCCACACTTCACTGAGAGGAAAAAAATGTTGTAATTATTAATCCCTCTGGTATTTCTCCACAGCGTCATGAAGCAGCCGTGGATCAGTCAACGGTGGAGTCGTTTTATAATAATAGGTTGAGGGTTCGACCCTCACTTGGCTCGTCTACACGCTTGTGTCCTTCGACAACAAACTTCACTTCAGGTGACATGACAGTATGTGAGGAGCTGAGTTACATTAAAATATGTGTTTACTGTACACAAAAATGTACAGGACATTTGGGGGAAAACAAAACAAAAACCACAACATATTTTATAAAGAAAACTCCTTAATGTGAATACTTTTTTAAAGCATCTTATATTTGTAGAGTTTGTAAGTCTATAGACACTGAAATCATTACCGCCACCTGCAGGCTGAACTGGAGGTCTGTCATTTTTTCTAACCAAAACTTGTAACTTTGTGGAAAACTGGAGGTCTGTTATTTTTGGTTCTAACCAAAACTTGTAACTTTGTGGAGCACAGATTTGCTTAAAGATTCAACTAAGTAAATGGTTAAAAAATAAAATAATTAAACGCAACAGTTGAACTTGGCACAGTTTCAGTCAATCTGACCACAGATGTGCGCAGCAGTAGTTATAATCGCCCCAACACTTTCACTGCACCTAACATTGATTAATATACAGCACATAAATGGAAAGAGATTCCATACCATAAATTCTACAGCAGAACAGGTTGTAATTCCTCTGCTGTGCATTAAAAGCCAGGAGCTCGGACTCTGTGTCAGTTTGTGGAACACAATTAATGGAAAGCCCTGATAAAATGGAATTAAATTACAGAGCAATTTTAATCTAATCAACCAAAAAAAAATCCATCCATCCATTAGAGCCAGTTAATGAGTACGACGAGGACAACAAACACATATCCCTGTGTCAGCAAAGACAGAGATAATCTCATCAGGGGGAATGTTTGTGTTTTTGGGCAAAGTCACATATTTTCATAGAGTGACAATTTACAACAGTGGAGTCATGGGACCACCCACTGCAAGGATCGTCCACAGTTCTTACTCCACACTGCAACAGGCAATTTTAAAGACTTAAATAATCCCAAAGTTGTTGTTGTTTTTTGGGGGGGACAACTACGTTCAACTAACCTCTGTAACACCGACTCTAACCTGTTTTCACCTCCACACTGTACAGATGATCCTGTGTTAGCTGGAGATCAGCAGAACATATCACAGTCTGATCTACTGATGGAGGCAACTAAATACAGAGCCAGTGTTTTAAACTATGACTCTGAAAGTGTTCTTATTGAAATCTTCGTTTTTTGCTGCAAAACTTATATAGTAAAAACATTAATAAACAGTTAACCGCTGCTTTACATCTTCTGATTCAAGAGTAAAAGTCTCTTGATTTTAGAACAGGCAAAACAGAACTATTTACACGACAGCATCGTTCTGTTGTTGTTGTTAAAAAACACAGTGATTTTGTTCCAAATGCCAGAGGTTTTAAAAGCTTGAAAAGAGATTTAAAAAAAAAAACATGTGAAGAATATCAGAAGCAAAGTGACATGAAAAAAAGGAAGTAAAACAGTACGTACCGAATCTCCTGCAGCGGATCACTGACACAAAACCTGACGCATGTCTGCACGGGACGCACAAGTTGAGCCGGACTGTTCTTAGCTGATGTGAAACACTCGCAGTCTGCATCTGTGAGGGTGGGGGTGGGAGGTGGTGGTACTACCTCCTCTATTTAAAAAAAATGGATTAAGGAGTTGTTGCTGAATAAACCAAATGAAAATGTGCTGGAGCAAAAAAAAAAAACCAAACCAAAACACAACCACATTCTTTTACAGTAGCATCAAGAACAATTTGGTGAAAGTTTCTGCTGATGCATAATGACTTACCCAGCCTGGTTGGGAGATAAGAAAAAGTTTGTGTCTGTGAATAAATATGATTTTTTTTAAAAAACACAACAACTATGTGATTTTAATTTATTAAATCTCTCGGCGGGGAGGTTTGACAGGAATTGATGGTTAAATAAATGACTTACAAGGTTTGGTCTGGATGTCAATCACGACGATTCTATCAGACAGACAGGACACAGTCAAAACAACACACTTAAAATCATAGACATAAAGCATTCCGTTGCCCCTTAACCATAACAATTACAAATACATACCTAATCTGACCTGAACTCAAATCCTAACTCCAGACTAAATCTTGACCCACCTGGTAACCTCTCACTCAGTAGAGAAAGGGCAAAATGTCACCACCAAGACACGTCGTCAAGATGACAGCATTTTCTTTATGTACACACTAGTACCAAATATCTCTCTCTCTCTCTCTCTCTCAGTGTTGTTTAGTGAGCACTTTACAGACACAAGTCATTCTGAAGCGCCCGACCGTAATACCACAACGATCCTAATCCTTACACTAACTCTGATTTGATCCTAATTCTAACACGTCATTAAAAGGAAATCTTAAACCTCAGAATCATCTCTCACTCAGTGGGGATCCTTTTTTTAAATTTACAATATTTCCATATTTGCGTAGCTACAGAAGGATCTCTCTTTCTTTGTACAAAAAACACATTCAGAAAATCAGAGCTATGTATCCTGAGTGCAGCGTGCACCCTGGAGAAGAATTAAATCATTCACAAATCATAAGAATGTCAGAGATGCCATAAATTAGAGAGAAGGGAAAATAAACAATGACAGGAGCCAAGCTAAGCTAAGGAGTCTGATCCCCGCTCTGTTGGAACAGGAGATAAAGATGTGTTTAAGTCATTACAGCACACTGCAGCAGGGTCATATTACAGTGAACCCCTTCAGACAGCAGGGAATGTTTTCAAAACTGAGGCTGAACAACCGGTGATGAATGTTGGAGATTTGGAAGTGATATGCAGGCGAACCAGCAGTCGTTTTTCTTTCAGACACGGCCAGAAATCACGGGCAGAGCATCGGACAACGCAAGAAATAATGGATATGTGAAGATGGCCTAATTATTCCTCATATTTTCATCGCGGTAAGCTTTGTCTACAGGTTGAGAAAGCAGAAGTGGAAAATCACTCTACAGCTCATCTCCTGTTCATGTGAAAAGATTGGAATAAGTGTGAGAGTGGGCTGCAGAGGAGTACGGTATGCGAGCTGTATTACAAACGGTTTCCTCTGTCTTGGCTATAGAGCTTGGTGGAAAAGGAACAGAAACGTCATCGGTACATCAGCCCAGAAGAGCTCAGGCGGGACACTTCTCAGAAGGGGGAGAGGCTCGGAACTTTGATATTGATGTCTCCGATGTTGATGTTTCGAGGAATCTCTGGCAGGTTCATGTTCTTCACAGCAGAGACTGCACGAGCTGGGGCTGCTGACAGACCGCCCTGCCCCAAAAGAAACAAGAGAGAAAAAACAACTTTACGACCTCGGTGGAAGTCTTACCTCCGCACAGCATCTGTGCCAAGAACCCGAGGACTCTGTTAAAAGGTCATTCTCTTAATATTCTTTTCAGATCAGTGCACGTTTTCACAAAACCAAATGTGAAGAAGAAAAAAAAAAAACATCCTGTGGACTATGTCTAAATGTAGCACTTCTACTAACTTTTCACATTTAAAAAAAGTGACAAACACCACTGGTTTCAATTTGTTCTTAGTTATACGAGATCGAATTTGGAACAAGGTCTTTTTTAAATTCTGATTCATCCTGTCAACAGAGAGGAGCAGCAGCAGCAGTAGTAGTAGTAGTATAATTCTGATTCATCCTGTCAACAGGGAGGAGCAGCAGCAGTAGTAGTAGTAGTAGTAGTAGTAGTAGTTTTGTTCCTGATGTAATCTGACCTGGATCGCTAAGTATGAAGAAAATATATATATAAAAATATTAGTCACTTATTTGTCTTTGCAATCCACACAGGCTGCCCCAGGAGGCGCCATTGTGTACATGGTTCCTCTGGGGTTCAAACCCAGGGCCTTCTGGGCGTAAGGCAGGCTTGATAGCCGCTACACTACGGAACCACAAAAGGAAAAGCAAATTTTGCTGTCACACTTCTTCTTACTCCTTAAGAGCCAGTTTAAACAACTAAACAGATGTTTTATCACAGAGGATCATCTGCCTCCATCTCACCGTATCCCTCTGCTCACTCTGCTTTTACTGCAGCGATCTACAAGCCACTTGTATTGTTCCTACATTTACTGTTTTATAATCCTTAAAAGTCTGAAAATGTGTCTCAAAACAAGCCACTCCAAATTCACCCATTTTGAGATGTCACAAAGTGACAAGTCATCACCGTTGCACTGGATTAGCAACACCCGGACCACCTACTACTGTGGATTTGACACTCGCTTTACTCCTACGTAACTGCCAGCGGTATCATGTACAGCCCAAAAGCTGAGCACAGCTGCTCATTTAGCACAGCGCTAATAAAACAAGTGCTGTAATATGTAAAAACACTTGAGGCGCTAGAAATGGGTCATCATCTGCAGCAACACAGAGAGGAAGGCAAAGGAAGGCCACACGACCGTCTTTAATCTAGGTAACAACATAATGAACTATAATATATTTTAAATATTATATATATTGAAATTATTATTGATAACACCACTTACAATCTTAAACAACTGTATTCTTGCCCTCTCATGAACATAAACTTCTAATTCTAATAATATGCAGCATATAACAAAATCTGAGCTGATGCATCCTGATTGACTACAATCACGTGACTGAAAGAAAAAAAATGTGTCTGGGGTTGCCAGAAATTTGTGACGTCAACATAGGGTCACAAGTTAAAAAAGGTTGGGAATCACTGATCTCGGTCCGTTCTTGGCTCGACCAACATCTGGAGCTTCTTCTTTTTCTAAGCCTGATTCTGGCTCAAACATTTTCCATTGGCCAAAAAAAAAAAACCAAAACCAAACACATGTTCAAAATGTGGCTATTACATAAGTGCCAAAAGAACCCTGTGCTCTCACTGTATTGGACCGTAGCATGTGACTCAAATGTCCTTTAGACATGAAGTAAAGAATTCGGTTTTTTTATTTTCATTAAAGTAGCATCATTTGTCCACTTTAACGTGTGCTAAAGAATTAATTTTTTTATATCATTTGTCCACTTTAACGTGTGCTAACCTAGTATCTGTGCTGTTTGAAGAACAACAGTTCCTGTGTCTTGTCACATACATTTGCAATTCTGATCAGTGTTGTCGTAGCTGTTCAGCAGATGTTCTCACATTCAGTGTTTTTAATCAACTCAAAAGAAAACCTACACTTCATGTCTTTGTGTTGACTCACTGGACATCAACACACGTGTTTTTTGTCTCCTGTGGTTGACCAGCAGGATGTGACATTGGGGTCTTGGCTATTGGCCTTTTTTTTTTTAGTTCTGTTCAATCTTCATCCAACTGAGAACTACATGACAGCATAAGCAAATAATTCTGTTAATTTCAAATGCCAGCGCGTCGACTTTGATGCACACGTGTTCACACGAGTTCATGAACATGACATCATCCTAAACCCTAAATGTTTGTGAAAAGGCACGGTCTCCATTGCGGCTCAAAGGCTCTCACCTCCGACTTCTCCATGCGGTTCTGCACCTCCACCTGAGCGACAATTTCGTTCATGTTCGTCTCCAGAACCATGCCGCCCATCACCACTTCCTGTAAGATGTAGTGTACCTGCAGAACAGTAAAAGGCAGACAATAATACACAGCAGCTGTCTTTTTTAAATGCACTGCAGTCGCATAATGAAGAACCATGCAGCCGGCGGCGTAAATCTGTGGACGCCGGCGGCTCCAAATGTCTGTTTGAATTTCTGTTTGTTTACAAATGTGTCATGTTTATACACTCAGCTCTTCACTTTTTATAACTGAGGGATGATAGAGGTATAAAGGGGCCATTTGTCTCTGAAAAAAGTACTGTGGCTGACAGATTACTCAAAGGAAAATTGTTTACTCCAGCAGGACTTGTGGTAACAGAATGAGTTTATGAGATCACCAGGTTTTGGTTTGTTTGTTTTATCTGTGTCACTGATTCACTGCAAGAGGTTTTCTACTCTTTCTGTGGAAATGGGAATGACTTTTGGAATAGAAGAAGGAGTCACAGCGGCATCTCTGAAATTACTTAATGTTAAACTGTTATTTTCCTATTACCATTGTTAACTGTTATAGTGATATGACAGTGTATTGAGACAAATTCAGGTAATACGTCCCTTGTTTGTTGTGTAATTTGTAAAAAATAAAAGATATTTAAAGAATACACAGTTGTAACTAAATACAAACAGATTTGGTCCAGTTACTGTGGCTTTCTCAAAGCAAGGGCTTTTCAACCCAACAGAAATATTTCCAAGTTTCTTCTTGGGAACATTCCTCAGGCCAAACCCCGCTGCACCACATGACATCAATTTCCTGCTGGGAAAATTGAATCAAGATGGCTGGAGATGGTTATGATTAGTCAACAGCAATCATTTTCTCTCCTCTGCAAGTTCCAGACACAGAAAAAGGTATTGTATTTTAGCCTGAACAATACAGCGTCTGATTCAAGCCAAAGGGGCATCTGTGGGTTTGGAGAGATCGTTGGACTTCAGTTATACACATTTAAAGTGATGTTTGAGGACAGCTGGTTTCAGTAATGTCTGGCTGCCACATTTTAAACCAGTATTACTTTCTTAAATTATTTAGAAAACTACACTGACTTTATATTATAACCCATTCAAACTTTCTTGCACTATTATCAAACGGTAGTACAAAATATGGCCCCAAGTGAAGAGTGTTTTTAGTAGGGATGGGATATTTCAGATCTGTGGCATCAGATTTATTTATAAAACCTAATTAATGATGAAGAGATTTCAAATTTGACAAACGGCAACATTAAAAACAAAACCTCTGTCAACACATTAAAAAGAAATGGCCCAATTCCAACAATGCAGATGTTTCTGAAAAGCAACTAGCTGCATGGGAAAGCAGACATATTCACACCACATATTACACATGATTCATGGCCAACATATTTCACTTGAATATAGAAATAAATAATAAATGGTCTGCACTAATTGCGAGAATAAAAAATAACTCTAAGCCATAACTATTACAGTTTGAAAATAAATCTTATGAATTTCTGCCTTAAAAGACCATAAAACGTCATTATGAACACAGGGAGACTGTTACGGAAAATTATTAAGTAACGCCACCTACTGTTGTAAGGAAAGCCGAGAATGCACATTAAGTGGTTTTATTTAAATGAGTTGTGGCATTCTCGGCAGAAAATATTTTTTTGCTACTTATCGCAACCAAATTTTTTCTGCCAACTAATGTTTTTGGCTCTTGTGTTATTAGTCTCATTCTATATTGAGTTTAAACATATATAAAAACTCCAGATGTCACCCAGGTCTAGCTTGTGCCCAAGAACATTATATTAGATGAAAAAATATATATCATTGATGAACAGGGTCAACTTCTATCAGTAATTTCTTTCAGATTCACAAAATAACAATACTGATATATTTCGTATGTAAACTTCTGCTCCTGGCTCACCTTGTCCATGTGAAATATGAGGTCCAGCTCACAAACATTTTCAAAGCATTTATCAAGCGTTTCCACAAACACCTATGAAGAAAAGGATTTGTTTTAACATCTCACTAAAAGACCAAATATCTGCTGTATAAGTAGCTAAGAGTATACTCACATCATTTACATGGAATTATTGTCTATCACATTAGGAAGTATGTCACTGAGCATTATGTTCATAAAAAGAAGATTGTAAAAGCTGACCTGTATCAGGCCCAGACTGCCGAGCTCGCTCTCAGAAGAGTCCACACAGAAGACAAAGTACAGTGTTGCATAGTGTCTGTAGATCAGTTTGTAATCTGAGCCACCAATTAGACTGAAATAGATACAATTATATATATATATTAATAAAACAAAGTTCAACAGGTTCCTTTCAAATAAAAAATAAATAAATGCACCCATCTAGTGTAGATAGCTGCATTGCATAATATTATAAAATAATAAAATGTGTGAAAACTGGATATCTAAAGTCTTGTGTTTGCCTCCATCTAATGGTTTGAAAATAGCAACTGCACTGGGTTTAAAGCAAATCATGCTTAAAGTTCTGTTTAATGACACAGCACAGTCTGACCTCAACTGAAGCTCTGCCTTTAACACCTGATTAACACAATGATATTGTAATTTGTTACATACGTATACTTTTCTCGATAAAAACTACATTAAGCTTTGTCACTGCAAGAACAGTGATGAGCTAATTTACGATTACAACAAAAGTATTAGAAAATAAAATCGTTTTGGTAGTTAATCTTGCCTTCCACCCTCCAAGAAGTTGCAGACATTGTCATCCCTCTTTGATACCAAATGGAAAGTCTCTCGAATTATCTGCTGCTGCATTTCCTCAGTCTGTAGGAAAGGTAGGGTTAGTCTGGCTAATTAGCAAAAAATACAACTACAACATGATACACGGTCTAGTGTGTTAATGTAACAGAAAACCACAAAACAAATACAGAAATCCGTCTTCTTTGTAAGTTATCAGTGTTTTTGTAAATTATTTGTTTTCTAGCATATTGGCGACCAAACAAACCAACGCAATTAACGGACTCGAACACTGAAACAATAAATTGTCATTTTTGTAACACAGAACGGTTACCAGCACAGACTAATAATTTGTGCTCATCTTGTGCACCAAATCTTTGATGTGATTTTAATTACAATAAAAGTTTGTGCTCATCTTTTGCACCAAATCTTTGATGTGATTTTAATTTGAATGCCTACAATTGGTACGCTAACTGTCACTCTACCAGCAATGACAGCTGGTAATTTAAAGACAAGATGCACCATTGGCTCCAAACATACTTACGAAATACTGATAGAATCTAATCAGTCGCGGTTTCCCGTGGTTGTTAAATATTAAAATTGCTTTAATCATTTTTTCTTTTTTGTCGAACAATTTAAAATATCAAACTGTTAACAGAATACTCGATTTTTGACCACTAGAATGGCGTTAGCTGCGGTGCTAAATAGATTCTAGAAAACTTCCGGTTAGGTGTTCACGTTCAGCGACCGACAAATAACAAAAGCATCGTTTTGGGTTCCGGCTATTGGTTTCATCATTTTAATTTTAATTTACATATATTGTCGTTACTGTTATGATTTTAAAAATAAAAATAAAAAAACAATAGTCAAACTCAGCATGTGCGGACTGCAGTAACATCGGTCAACTTTGTTGGACCAATTAATCTCTGACACCGGGGGTCTGATAAAACGGATATAAAACCACATCTATCTAACATGCGTGTTTTGCTGCCACCCCATGGAAATGTCTAGCACATGCATCAGAACCTGAGTCACAACAGACTTATTTAATAATTGTTTTACACAGCTTGTTTTCATGTCCTAATTACACGTAACACACAAGTCAAAATCTAGGGTGTTTACATTTATTGTCTACATAAGTGTGTAATTGTATATTTTTGTACATATATTCATATAGAAAAACTCAGAAGCATGATGGTAACTGATACATCATTGCTGTTTTTCCACCAGCTCAAAACAGAAAGTCTATTTTTATAACCTCCAGCAACCTCTGTCAGTAAGATGTAGAAGAATGTGCGCAAATGTACTAAAAGTAAAACATGACTCACAAAACACTGTGGAAACCTACAATGTCAAAACAATGTCAGTGTGATGTTTTCAATAAAAATGGACAAATGTGTCAAAAATATGTATTTCTGGTTCCAGGTATGTCAAAATGATTTAATAATGAAGGGTGTCTACCATTCTCCCATAAGCAGTGTATTGCGTACTATATTGTGGTAGATTAAATGTTTAATTACATAACTAAAGCATTTAATTTTTTATTAAAATAATTATGTGCCATAATATGTTGATTAAGCATTTTCTTACACAAACAGTGGTCTCATATCTTATTTCTTCTATTTGCACTTCAGTGCAGGGTGTTTGTCATATCATAGCCGTGGCCAACATCTGTTTTTGTTGCTCCAGTTGATGGTCAGGACTTCTGGTGTTTTCCCACGTCAGTGGTTCCTCTCAAAATAACATAAGAACACTGTTTTGGCTTATGTCTCCTCAAGTTTCACATGAGCTAAAAACCAGGCCCAGATTTCTGGCCATTTCATATGACACTGAAGTTACAAACTACAAGTGGAAAGCACATAGTTGATTCTATAAATAGCCGTGAACTGACTGGCCAATCAGCACATTGCTCAGTGACCATTACATTCAAAATGAAGTAGGGGCAGAAAGTGACTCGCCCCCGCATACTTCGCATACTTTCACCAAACAACAGAGAAAATGTTAAGGAGATCAGGCTAGTGAGATGACATCAAAGCAATGATAGTTGTGATTTAAAAAAAGCTCTGACTTTGTTCAGAATTAAGGCATTTCAAACAAATTACAGTATACATCAATTAATTTTACAACATTTGTTAACAGGTGCATGTTGTAAAACATGGCATTTATAACTGAATTATTCAAAAAAGTGTTAGGGACAGATTTTATCACCTGCAATAGAAACCGCAACTCTGTAGAAGAACTGATAGACATATAGTATATGTTTGATGAAAAGTAAAAACAATACATATATATATATATATATATTTAAAAAACTTCAAGGTTTTTATTTTTTGATACATAGATAACATTATCATAATAAGAATAATAATAATAGCAATACTGATAATTATATGTAGGTTTAATTACAAATAGACAGACAACACCATATTTTCTTTGTGGAACAAATACTTTACATATTATTATTAATATTACTATAATTTCTGGTTTTATAATAAAAAATCATTATTATTATTGTTGTTAGTATTAGTAGTATTATTTTACCTAGAGCCAAATTGATATCACATTTGATTTATAAAACCTAATTAATTCATGTATATTTAAACAGAATAAAATCCATATGAACACATAAAGTTACAAAAACTAAACTAAAAATTTTGATTAAATAAGTTGGGACTCACCTCACATGACCTCAACCTGCAAACCAAACCGACGACATCACACAGTCAGACCCCATTTCCTGCTCTGATTTCATATCCATTAATTCTCTGTTATACGTCTTTAATTATTAGTGTCACAAAGCCGCGGTTCTGTTGTCTGCAAATCTTCTATTAGTTCCTTCCTTTATTCACTTGCTCCTGCATGAGCACAGTAGAAAACAAGACACTCATTAGCATGTGTGGCCTGTTGGTGGCAAACAGACTTATTTCCACATGAGTGCAGTGCAAGAATGTATTTCAACGGGACAGTCGTGGTAGGTGGGCTCAATGGTTGCCTTCATAGGGTCTCTAATAGGCACTTAACAAATGCAAGGGGACAAGCACAACATTCTCTGGCACAGTAGGGGTCATGTTTGTACAGTGAGCACTTGTTATGGGATGACTCACTGTATCGGAACTCTTGGGTGGTCACTGATATTGGCTTCATATTTAATGTGCATTCTGGAGTCTTCTCTTCATGCTAATTGATGGATTGTGACTGATGTTGAGTGCTGTCTGCCAGAGCTGAGGTAATGTGTGCCATCCAAATAATGGCTCTGAGCTCTGCTCTGTGAAGTGATGAAAGCAGCCTGTAATTACAGGGATAATCAAAACTGTCAGGGGCTCTTCTATGGATGGGTTTGTTTACTGTCTACTTCTCCCACAACGTCACTAGCTGCTGGCCCTTTTTCCTCAGCGTGGGCCTCAGATCTCCAAGGAAGTTGTAAAAATACCTGTCTGGGTCCGGGGTCAGGAAAAAGAAAAAAGAAAGAAAAAGAGATTCTTGATCTCTTTGTACTTGAGAGACAACTTATTCGGGTAATAGCTTAATTAGACACCAGGCCTCAGTGTTGAGATTAATATATATTTATATGTAACAAACAGGTAATATGCTGACCTGCTAAGAGGTTTATTAAAATACAAAGAAGGCACCTTGTCATTACTTGTCACAGCCATTTGTTTCTTTTTGGAAAGTGACAAGTTCAAAAATAGTTACATCGACTAACTTTTGGACGGAGTAGGTTTCTTGAAGACGTTATTATTAAGAATTTATAAGAATTTAAAAAATGAAAGTGTTGCAATAGGAGAAACAAAGTGCAATGGCTAAAATGTGGAAAACTAACAACAGTGTTGAAATACAAAAAAGACCAGTTGAAAGGTTCACTTTAACGAAATGATTATTTGTAAACTGTTCAGCATAGCAGGATGAAATCAGTTAAAAATAATCAAAAATGATCATTTTTTTCTGGTAATTTTTGTTTATTTTTTAATTCATAACTGAATAAACACAATCTCAAAATCTTCCGGTTTTTTTACTACTAGTAGTAGTTTATTAGTCGTAGCAATACTAGTTATAATAAGATGAGACATAACACTTACAGTAGTAGTAACAATATTTGAAGTAATCGTAGTAATGACACATCTCACATTTTCCAGATCATGGACGCGCAGTTATTTTCTATTACCTCACGGTGGCAGCATTTTGGCTTTCTCATGTGGAAAGATAACATTTAGAGGCTTATTATTATGTCTGCGATACTTATTGTGATAATTTCGTAACACTATTAAATGTTAAACAAAAATGCTAAGTTGGTTTTCAAGAATACCCTTCCAGACGAGTTATGATACCACACCGCGTAGTTTGAATTAGGTCACGCGTCATAGTTGTTTATTACAAATAAAGCTGGCACGTTACAGCTGCTAATGATCGACGTATGGCATGTGTAGAATCTGCATATCATTTAATAACAGGCCGTTGTAAAATAATGTCCACTGTTGTCTGGGATAGAGATACAGAGGCACAATCCTCCGACGTATGTTTTTGAGAAGCAAAACAACCCTGATCCAGGATCGGTGTCCCGGATTTCTAACACACCGAATCGTAAACGGAGGTGGAACGCCGGTGACCAGAGAGTAGAAGGAATCAAGAGGTCTTACTATGTGTTTTTTCCTTCAGCAAAAGCGAAGACGAGCTCGCTTAAGTGTGGCGGTAAAACAAAAATAGCGTGTAACTGAAGGTAGTCATTAAAAAGAAAACCAAACATACATCGGGTTGTTGTCTTACTCAATCGCAAAATAAGCAACCCATTAATTAATGTAGTATGTTTCGACCAGATCACTGAAAAAAAACAAAAACTAAAAGAGATAAACGTGGCCTTCATATGATGAGTACCAGATCAGTAAACGTAGCCTTCATATGATGAGTACCAGATCAGTCACTATGGTAACTGCTATCCAGCGGTCTCCAAACTGCAGTCATAGAGCGACGCCCACTCTTTACAGACTGGAAGGCGGGGCAAAAAGCTCGAGTGATCCATCTTTCGAAACGGAGACGATCTCTGTTCACGGCGCCGTGTTTACAGCGAACACGACAGACTGCAGACTGAGCGAGAGAGGCTGTGACTGTACCTGTTCGTTAATCTGTCTGACCGCGCGGCTCATTCTGCTTTATATTGTCGGGAGGGCATTAGATAAGTAGAGAACACAGAGAAGGAAGGTCAAATTGTTGGCTTTCCTCTGGTAGGAGGCTGAATTATCGCTGCCACAACAACGCGGTGCGTGTGTGCATGATGAGAGACTGAGGAGGAGGAGGAGAAGGAGAAGGGGGAGGAGGGAGAAGGAGGCTGCGGTCTAAAACCACACTTATCCTGGATATTTTGAACCAAACGTCGTGTCGTTCGTACAAAGGGGCTGTGTATTCGATAATAATGGCGTTTTACGACCTGGGCCGACTCTTTCCGTACAATTTTAATGGGGTTTAACCGATATCTGCCTCCCGAGGATTCTCCAGCAGCGGAACGCTGAACGTTTTTTCTTCCCGATATGGAGCGTGAAGATGCGGATTACAGAGGAATCCCCTTCGCTGGTTTAGCCGCATTGGGTTTTATTATTCATTTCAGTTCTTAGTTATTTTTGGCTGGAATAAATAACTAAAAAAGAGCATCTTTTGGAAGTATAAGTTGGTAATTTTTCTTCCTTTTTGGAGCACGGTTCGACTCCCATTTGGAAACGTGAGAGCTGCCCTGTTAGCCCGACTGTAGTAACGTTAGCTTTAGCTCCCTTAGCCGACTAATAGCAAAAAAGTGCTGCCTGGAGATAGCTTTTTAACTGGACGTTCTAAATTATTCCGACCGATTCGGTCGACGCTTTGTTTCCTCCACATACTTATTTCTAAGATTTGGGAGGATTTTCTCGTCCAGGAATGAGGCCTCGAACAGAACGGAACCGCTTGACCTTGTTTTGGGGTCTGATGCTGGGTCTGTCGTCCTGCCTGTGGCCCGCCACCGCAGAGAGTAAGTAATGCCACTCCACACGGCCAGACACGGAGACATTTGTTAAGCCATGCTCCCCGCTCCAGTTCTGTTTAAATATACAAAACAATCCATAGAGGGATTTATAGTTTTATTTGAAATACTAATGTATGAAGTAGAACAAAATTGTAACGAGACGGCTACGTGCTATTTTTTTATTATCCCTGAAATTTCTCAGATTTGTAACGGAAAACTATTAGCAGTTCCCGATACAATAACTGTTGTAAATCACAGCGTAGTTGACTGAACAAAACACAATGCGGTTTTTTTCATCATCATTATTTTTCATGGTTAAAGAATACGAATTTTTATTTATTATCATACCGTTCATACTTGGCTGAAAAGTAGCTTTAATGTTGCAAACCTGAACAGCGTGTATTAGATAGGACAATCTGTAAAAAACCGAAGAAATAAAAGAAAATACGGTCATATATAAAATAGTTTACTGTAAGAGAGTGGAGACAAGTCAACAAAGGTAGTCGGTTCTCATGAAGAAAGGAAGGAGTGCGAAAGAGGGCTAAAGAAATGTATTCCACAAATACAAAAATGGGGAATTCCATTTATGTGTTTACCTAAACTTTAATGAATAACATTAATGTTGAAACCACCAGCCAGGAATTTAGCAAATATGGCTCTGTCGTCATTTAATCTGTTTGTCCCTGACAAAATTACCTCCTTATTCCCTATTTATAGTAACACATTATAAACAACAGCCCTTTTTACAGTTGTGGATAAGAACTTCTGTGGGGATTGTGAGGCAGTGGAATGTTCTGAACGTGTTTGTTCAATAGCATCACTGTGCTTTTTCCTCAGAGGTAATCCGTTAATTATTCTCCCCTGCTAAACAAACTTGAGGATACTCTGACCTTGTAGAAAAATTCCAGAAATGCCAGATTTTTACACATGAATTGATAAATTAGTGCTACTTCTTCCACACAATCAAAATTTAAATTTAAGTTTATACAATATATTGGAGTAATATGTAAAAATAACTTTTGAAACTATTGCAGAACATTGATTCCATTCACATGACTTAGGTGGTTGTTGTTACTAACTCTAGTGAGACGTTGTAGTGACTAACCATGGCATTAAGCTTCCGTCAGCTTGTAAACCTTCATATTAAATTTTTTCCATGTTTCCAGCTCTACTGTAAACAAGCCTTCTGGATTTATCCCATTCATCGTGACATGTTGGGGAGGGCTGGGTCAGGGGGTTGAACCAGGGTCTGGGTTTAAAATAGAACAAGCCGAAGTATATTCACAAGCAAAACAGACTAAGTTTTGTAGATTGAAAAGAGTGATCAGCTTGCGAAATGTTTCTTTTAGGTTTACTGTAAAACCTAATTTGTTACAGGACAGGACTAAAAAACAGTGATGCTTCTATTGATGTTGTACATATTATCCACATGTTAAGCTGCTTGATGTTCCCTTGTGTGATTTTTACGTTAAGCATTTCTGGCTGTTTACAGTATCAGATGGGACTCAAGAGTAGCTGCTAGCTATCTGTTACCCAGACCCTGCCTTACAGATGTACCAAACAAGTTTGATTTATCAAGGAATGATCTTGCTTAGGATTCCTTAGGCATTTCTTCTCACTTTGCATTGCATGTGGAGTATTTATGATTCCCCCAGCTCCCAACCCCCCAGCAGTCTGTCACTGACAGTATGGAACTTGGGAGTACACAAACTTGCTGCAGTCCAGTGACAGTGAATGCTGCACCAACCTTGACATAGATAGATAGATAGAACTTTATTAATCCCTTGGGATTTCCCTTCAGGAAATTAAGGAAATTGAGGGAACATTGCTTCCTATTTTTTGTCCTATGGGTCTTGTAGTGGACTTCCTCTAATTGTCTGCCGAGGGTCTAGGTGCTGCACTTGGGCAGGGAAAGGTTATCAAATGCAAATATGTGATCTAACGGCTTGCCAAAGCTCCAGAGATAAGCCTGTTTACCTTGCTGTTTTAGAATTTGTCACAGAAGTACAGAACCATTACACCTGCTATAAGTATTTTTAGGAAGTATGTTCAAAATCTGATCAAAAAGCTTTATTCACGATTGCACAAGCGTGGTCAGGAGCAGTTCCCATGTAAGGTGGCCATGCTGGCATTGCTGTGAGGCCACGAAGGGTGAAGCCCTGAGCCTGTTGTGATGTAACATCACTAGGCAGTGTGTCTTTTTACAGGCCTGGTTGGTGGGATTAAATTAACAGGTATGCAGCTTGCTGAACGCTGCTGGCAATGCTCACTGACAAGTAGATTACAGAGAGAGACACATCCGCCATACCAGTATACTGCCTCACACCAAAGGCATTTTATAATCGTTCACAATGGTCTTTCAAGTCTTGTTTCTTTTATCTTTGTAGTTTGATACTGTCCCAGCTTCATATGGTTTGGAGCAGTGGCTCTTTTAGAGGGTAGACACGTTTGCTTTTTCAAAATTTGTATTTTATTTTAGAATTTTGCAATTCACTGACCATTGATACTTTACTGTAAACACTTTATTGAGACTTAGGTTCTCTGAAAAACAGAAGCTACAAACCACTGTCTGTTTGATGCTGTTACAGCTGCAATTCCTGTCTATGGCTTTTAAAAAAACAACAAGTGTGTAGAGTCGCTATATCTGGTCAGAGCCCCATGCTTCCTATATCATTGTACTACATAAAGAGATAGTACAGTTATATTTGAAATGTAGCAGAGCGGCAATGAAAAATCCAGTTAATAATGACTAATGAATCCTGAACTCATTGCTATCTATTAAAGGTAGCAGACAAATATTTTGTTGCTATTGTTACTAAACAATTAATTTTTTTACTTTCTGAACTTATTTAGGGTCATTTAGGGTAACTGAAAAAAAATTACATTTCAGATAACACTATTAATTTTTTTTCATAGTCATATAATTATCCTAATCTTCCCTACAGCCCAGGAACATGACAGCATTTGTTGGATTAAGTCGTGTTTCTACTTGTGTAAAGCACTGTGGCATGGACCTGTGTAGGCTGGGCATGCGCTTCAAGTAGACATAAAAGCATTTAAAAACATGTGTCGATAAGGTGTTTACCTCTAGGTGGTGTACAAAAAGTCCATAAATAGTTAATCAGTGAGTAACTTAATATTGTAATATGGTCTGCTGTTGAAGCATAGACTAGTGACTTTAGACCAGACTATTGCCTTTTATTCTATTTAGCTTGTAATCAGGAGTTTAGTCCCTGAGTGAAACTTAGTTTCTTTCTAAATTAAGTTTAAAAGTTCTGTTAGGCAACTGGACGTGAAGTTGCCTAACGTCCAGTTGCCTAACTGAAATTTTAAAGTGTTGCCTAACATCCAGTTGCCTAACTGAAATTTTAAAGTTGACCATGACCTGGATGACTGAGAATCTTCATAGACTTTCTTAATTACTTTCTCAGTAATTTTCCAGACCAAATTTAGGAAGCATGTTTGTTAATCTGGGTTCTGTCTGGATTTAAAAAAATGTAAGCACATGAATTAAATTAAGGGCCATCATATCACCTTCGGTCCTACTACACTAATTTTTTGTAAAAGATATTTGTACAAATAATCCCTTTTAATCTGGAACACCCAATTGTAATCCTCTGAATTACATTGATTTACAAAGAGTGATGTCTTTGTTTTCAACAAAGTTTAATACAATTCACCAGTAATTTTCTTAACATGTGACTTTTTGAATTTTTTCATTGATTGTCTTTGCACGGAGCTACAACCATGTGTTTGCCTCTGTGGTCTCTGAGCTGCTCTTAAATAAAAACATGCACGGCAGAGCACCAAAACAACTTTGGTGCCCTCGTCCTAGAGCCACAGGGCATGGTGACACAATGCCTGCACCCTCTCATATAAACTAGCCTTTATATGTAGCATGAACAACATCACTCTGAATCCTTGTTTTGCAGCAGCAGGCCCAACAGCAACCCTGTTTACTTGTGCCAACAGACATTTACCTGTTTTTGTTTTTCGATCAACTGGTAATTGTATTTCATGTCCAGTAAAACCGTCAGAATAGTGTAATAAATAATGTGTACTTTAGACATTAGAGTTGGTTTGCCTACCTGTTGATATGTTTGTACTAGTTTTCCATGACTCACTTCTCACAGGGCTTTTGAAATGTTGTTTGCATGAATCCAATGTGGAAAAAAAGGCCTTTTGTTCCCACTGGTTGTATATAGAGCTTCTAACAAATGTTATAGTTACTCTTTAACCATAACGTAGTACACATCATAATATTCTCCACTTTTTTAATAGATGATCAAAGTCTATATACATAACTGATGAAAAAAGATAATTTAATTATTATTGGTGCAACTTTCATTGAAAGAATTAAATCAATTAATGACTTCATAACTGGAAATACATATACTGTTCAACATATCACAGTTTTAAGCATGTTTAAGGGATTTTCGTCATTTCTATGCCAGTAAAAGAGCATTGGATACTCAACAAAATAGCATAATTATGTGTAAATAATCCACTGCCCAAACAAGCTGCTCAACTGCAAGCCGCCCTACGGCAATCGCAGTGAGACACCAAAGTTCAGACAGTTCAAATTCTAAACATCAGTTCTTAAAATCAGCAGGTAATTTGTTTAGCATTTTTATATCTGGTAAAAAGCATGTTCATTTTAATTAATTTTTTTTTCTAGCTTTAAGAATTTAGGATCAATTCTGTATTTACTTACCTGACACACAAAAGGTGTGGTAGAATCCTTTATTTGATAGCAGATTTTGCCTGGTTTATTGCAGGTGATACTAATGTCTGGGAGGGTTGTCCTTTGATTTACTCATTTCCGAGAACATATAAAAGGCCTTGAATACTATTGGTCCTCTAATACCTGATGACAATTATAGGACATCCCCCGAGTTTGTCCCAGTTTTGTACTCACCTTGTGGTTGTGATCATGTTGGTATGCCGTTAGCCTTATTTTATAGCTGTGCTGTGCCTCACATCTACGACCACAGCAGCAGACTCTTGTTTCACAAAGAATACTGCAACTGCAGTATTAGTTAAACTCCATGACTCCTGCTCTTTGTTCAGCAAGTTGTTTTTGTCCAATTCAATGTATTCAGGTATCTCGCAGTGCAAGCATACCTCACTGATGATGTCGACAGAATACTTTACAAGCCTATACTGTACCTGTGTGACGGCTTCATTAAAGCATTCTAACGGAGAAAAAATCGGTCATGTGAGGTCAAGAGCAAAGCCATCAAAGTTGTAATTAAACAGGCACACTGTTTAACTAAGCCCCAATAGACCCTGACCTTATCATACTGTGCTGCGAAAATATGTGGAAGGCCAGGCAAACATGTTGAGTTAAGGAAAGCAAAGCTCAAGTGTACAGTCAATATTTGAAGTACATGCTGCATTTAATTGTAAATATTTTTATATTTCAGAAAAAGATTAAATTGTTTTGCCTAACATTACACCAAAAATATTTATTGTATTATTTTATTATTAAATTAAAATGAAATTGAATTATTTGATTCAATTTCAATAACTAAATAATTGAATTATTTGATTCAATTTCAATACTAGGGGTTTTTGAGTCGCTCGCTATATGTTTTATTTCAACCTTTAAAAAATAAAAGGCAAATAAAAAATAATTGAATTTTTAGACTACAGTTGCTATAACCTTTCATTTTATCTTTCTATTTCAGTCTGTGGTCCAGACGTTCACATCGGCAATGACATCAGTGAGTTCAGGCGTTTGGAGAACTGCACGGTGGTGGAGGGTTCCTTGCAGATTCTACTCATTGGGGACAAAGGCAATACCCCCAATCAGGACGTCTTCCGCACCCTTAGCTTCCCCAAGTTGACTATGATCACTGATCACCTGCTGCTCTTCAGAGTGTCTGGCCTGGACAGTCTGAGCACCCTTTTCCCCAATTTGGCTGTCATCCGTGGACGTACCCTCTTCTACAACTATGCTCTGGTCATTTTTGAGATGACTAGCCTCAAGGACATTGGTCTGTTCAACTTGCGGAATATCACCCGTGGTGCCATTCGGATTGAGAAGAACCCTGAGCTCTGTTACCTGGATTCCATCGACTGGTCTGTCATTATGGATGCAGAGTTCAACAATTACATTGCTGGGAACAAGCAGTCCAAAGAGTGCAGCGATGTTTGTCCTGGTATCCTGGAAAACAACCCACAGTGCAGAAAGACCATATTTAACAATAACTACAACTATCGTTGCTGGAACTCCAATCACTGCCAGAAAGGTAAGCGAGCTCTTAAACATAAAAAAAATATTATTTTATTATTTTAACTGCAGATAGACAGTGAAGAGAATCTGAACTTTTGCCTATTAAATTAGTGATTGTAAAGAACTGCCCTAAACTGTAGATGTTTGGTTCAGGAATAGTAAAAAGTAAACTTTTATTGGGATATGAGATAAAATTAAAACTTGAAACTGAAGCATTTTATTCACAGTTGACTGTTGTGGTCTGCCAAAAACTAATTACAAAGGCAAAAATGGGAAAGTCCTGCATTAAGTCTGCTAGTCTGAACTATAAACACAAGCACAGATGCTGCATCAATTTCAATTAACATGAGGTTGTGATGCTGTCAGGTGTATCTGGAGCTGGATTGATGTATTTTTAAACAAATGTGGAGTAGACAAAATTTAATTTAACCTCAGTTAGTGGTTTATGTCTGCAGTGTTTTAGAAGACTTGTTTTGTTGGTGTTTTTCAGACTGTGTTTTGGCTGACTGTGTGTGTGTGTGTCTGGCTGTATTGTCTCCTTGGCGACTGATGGCTTGCTGCAGACTCAGCATGTTGATGTTTTCAGTCTTGTGACATGAAACTATTGCTGTCCTGGCCTTGACTACCTGTACAACACTAGTGTTCTTTGACGTTAGATAAGACATTTTGCTGTGCCCGGTATCTGAAGATGGAGGAATATGTGGGGTGGTGTCAAGCTTAGAGCAAGACTCTTTGTTTCACATCCCCAGTGTTGTTTTGTCGACAACCTTCTTTTCTAAAAAGAACACTAAATAGGAAGTTATGTGAAACTTATTGACAATGATAAAATGTAGGGATGCACTGAATTTTCGGCCACTGAAAATCTCCGGCTGAAAATGGCCCTAATGTGCATTTTTGTTTTTTTTCGGAAAGAAAGACTTTTATCACAGAGACAACACGGCCGAAACAGGAAGTTAAGTTAAAAGGGCTTGCCATAAGTACCCAGATGTCTGCGGTGTGGACGTATTTTAATATATCTGAGAAAGACACCATCTCATTACAGACAAGGAGAGGGTGTAGAATAGAAATATCCCCATCAGTATTATTTAATAAGTAATAGTGTTTGGCTACAGTTGATACGCACTTGACCTTAAGTAGGCCTCAGGTGTTATTTATCTTGGATTTAACTTCTTCGTTTTCTTTTTACTTCTTTAAAGCACTTTGGCTGAACTCTTGTTTGTTTTAAGTGCCTCACAACATTCTCTTTTGATGCTTCTCACACGTGTTTACGAGACATGCCAGTTGAGACTCGTCTTGTTGATGAAGCAAAGTGTATTGTCTTACCCCCTGTAGCTACACACTCATGTACTGCAAACTGACTTCAAACATTCATAATCACGAGACAGTGTGTTGTTGAGTCTGGGATGTGCTGTGATCCTTCGTCTAGTTTTATGAACTTGGCGGAGGAGATCTGTTGACTCGTCTTTACCAAATACATCTTCAGCACACTGTAAAATCTCTCGGAATTTTTTTGTTTACAAAGTAAGTGGCCGAGCAGAGAGAAGCAGTCATGACATTGTATCTCGATATGTGGGTCAGAATTATTTCATCCCTCTCACCCTAAAATGCAGAAAATTCTACTCCAAACCTGGCTGCAGGATGAGATGCATTCAGATTTGGTTAATTATATTGTTTGTGTTTTGTCTGTGGCGTTGACATTGCTTGGTATGTGGTACCATTTTGTCGGTCCTAAAGACTAAATATAGAACACATAGACAATGACACTCTAAGGATGCATAAGCAGTCTACTGTGCTCCAGAGGGAGTGTGTCAGCCAGGCCGAATGGGCCATCAGTTGCCTCTGCTGCTGCTTCCTCAAAACAGAATTGATCTCAGACTGCATGAGCTCCACTGCTCTTTGCACAGCACAGACTACATTGTTGGGCTATTTATTAGGCAGTTTATTGGAGAAGTCTGGTGGAAGTAAAGCCAAGCTTCATTAAGCAAGGAAGGCCGACGACTTGAGTGGTTGACTGAACAGAGCTGGTTTCCTCAAGCTTTTGTCTGGCAGCCTGCAGTACTTGTTGATTAGAGGCTACACATATATGTTATGCTGTTTTATGGCTCGTGTCTACTGTTAAAGTTAAAAAGCTAAAGAAGAGCAAAGCATCTTGTTTGTGTACGTTTAATTGAAGCTAGCTTGGTGTTGAATGTAATGGTGTTTTTTTCTCAGTAAATGTTCTTTCAATCTTAGGAAATTTAAAGTAAACTCCAGCAATCCCTGGGTTTGTGGTGAATTTTCTTTTTGTCAGAAAATGTTGTTTCAATCTTTTTAAAAAAGGAAATTTAAAGTAAACTCCAGCAATCTTACAATACATTATTGCTCATGAAATCTATTATTTAAAACTCTTACGAAAAACTTAAGAATAATAAAAGGAAGAGTTGAGTTTTTTTCTGTTTTCTGATAAGGCCCAAAATTACTCTTACCTTATCGGTGTTGTTCAAATGCTTTCATGCCTACATTCTTTACTGGCATCAAAGTTTACTCCAGAGGCATTTTATTTCAGACCCGGTCATTCTTCAGATCAATAAATGACGATAGGGAAATGCTCCACTCCTGGTGTTGTTGAGTTGATACAAAGGACATTCTTTCAGTTTGAATACGTTCATAAAACTGTTGCAGGGAAAAAAGGGCCTGTTTTCTGCTCTGGGAAAGTTGCGTGTTTTTTATTTGTAGTGGTGGGGGCTGCATTCTCCTGTGTTTACTTCCCCGTTTGTTGTTTGGAATCTGGTTTGGGTGTATTGTCTCATTCATAACTCCTTTTTTTTTTTAAAGGAAGAGCCATGTCCGTGCATGCCGTGACTCTCCCTATGTTATTCTGTCTGTCTGTCTGTCTCCCCTCCCTCTCTCTTTCTCTCTCTCTCCCTCTCTCTCTCCCCTGCACACACGAAAACCCACACACACACTCACACATTGAACAGCATGGGGGATGTTTTTCCGGTGCTTTGTACGGTCTGAGAAGATGAAAGCACATCATTAAAGTACAAAGTAGGTCTTCTGGGATTTACTGGAAGGAATTTTTGTCTTTTGTTAACCTCTGGCTTAGGGGATTATACATTAAGCTAGGAAAATTGACTCAAGCATAGTTGTTTAGCCTGTCACAAGATTATTTTTTTTCCATTCTTGACAAGTCACTATCACATTTTTTTTGTAAAAGTTTTAAAGTTCTACGTTAAAAGTCTTGTTACTTCTTTTTGATCGTTTGCATTTTACTGGTTTTGTGGTGGCCTTTCTTAAACTGCTGTATTAATGTTAAAAGAAATCGTGTCCTAGCTGTATGTGGACCAAATAGTTTTACTTTTTTTCCCCATTTTCCTCTAAAAGAAACGGCTCAGTGTTGAGATGATCCGATAGCTGCTGTACTCTTCATTCCTAGCGTAATTGAGACCAACCTTAGTCCTGGGTCGGGTCCAAATTCTGCTCAGTCTAATTGTGTCAGATAGGGTCTTATTACTGTTGTGGATCTTAGCTCTATGTGTCAATATGTTCAACATCAAGAAAGGCTCAAATGAACCTGTGCTAATCAAATTAAGGGATTTTGGCCGAGGATTTAGGGAGCATTAGGTGTCAGTCAGCTCTTCCCACGTCACCTCCCTTGCTCTGATGTATTCAACTTGTTTACACCAAGATGTTTTGCTAGTCAATTCAAAATAAAAAAATAAAAACACATATGAACATACTTCTACTTAAAGTGATGTATGCATGTAAAATGATAAGAGTATCCAGTATTTGACTCCCAGCAAAGCACAATAAATATCGTATTCACTGTTCAATTTGGGCAACAAATGCAATTGGTTTCTGGAGTAATCATTTTCAATAATCGTAATTTTAACATCAACGTAAATAACCACAATTTGATTTATTTTCCAAAATCAAGCAACCCATGTGTCTCCTGACATTTATTCCATTTCTAAAATAGTATAAATGTTGCTTGCTTTACACTCAGAAAATGGAAATACATCAATGTTTACTGTATCTAATTTACCGTTTTTGGACTGTGAGAGGATTCTTTTAAGAGCAACTTTTAATAAATATAATTTTAATAAAACAGAAAATTGATCTGTAAAGCTAGGGAAATTCTAATTTCTTAAATGTTAATTTGTTCACTATTAATATGTAACATGAATGAACATTTGTTAAACTGATGGTCAAGAATACTGTTTGGATTACAAACCCTTTAACAGCAAGTACAGTCTATAGCTTGGATGACACGTTTGGTCATTAAAACAACTAACGATAGTAAACTAGTTATGTTGCTTACCCTCACCCAAATCCCAGAGGCTGTCAGTTCTGGTAATTACAGTGACGGCTAGTAAAAGCAGGCACATCCATGACTACTTTTAGTGAACTGTTACACCCATCCCTGGAATTCCTGGAAGTGAACATTACTGGTTTGGCTGAGATCAAGTGCCTACTGTAATTATGTGGCCTTTAATTGTGCTCTGTTAACACTGTCAGATTGGGATGAGCTGCGACCATGGACTGAAATTGGTTTCTTGTTTATGGATTTCAGGCTGTTTAGGTCCAGTGTGAATAGTGTGTTTTTGAAGTGCCTTTTTCATTACCTTCTGCTCAGATCACATGAGAACAATGTGAAACTAAAATGCAAAGCAGGTTCTATGTCCTTCTGGCTGGTTATTTTTTACTGTTGATATTCAAGAACCCCAAATGAAACCTCAAAAAGATAATTATAATTCCTCAATAACACAATTCACTATATCCTTAATGGCACTTTAAAGGGAAAAGTGTCAGAGGTTTTAGTCCAGTATAAACAAATAAACATGCAAAAAAGCCCACAAAAAAACGGAAGTGGTATTCAAACTCTGCGTTTGTTTTTTTCTAACCTTAAAGAAAAGGCTTTATATTAAATGAATTAGTCATTAATTGTGTTATGCTTTAGCTGGTTATTTCCAATAATACCTTTTTATTATATCGCTTTTATTATGAAAATATTCCTCCATGATTGATTTAGACCAG